ATAACTGGTGCACATTATGGATATACAGTACATGTGCAAAAGAAAAACTCTGGTATACTTAAGGTGCACAGCAGGGTCACTGTGTAGAATTACAGGCATATCCTCAGTGTGCACCAATTTCCCCACTATAGGATCATTTTGTTTACAGTTATGGATATGAGAGAAAAAGCACAGAAAAATGTCACAAGTTTCCCATTCATGATGTTGGAAATCAACTGCACATATAATAGATGCATCAACACAAAAAAATGCTCCCATAAATGTATGACTGCAATTACTATAACTTTTCTGTGTGCAGACATGCTCAACGTATGTAGTTACTTTTTTTCTTTACGGTCACACAGTGATTACATCACTTGTTGGTTAAAAGATTAGTAAATACATAAAGAAAGGCCCGAGTGTTGTGGACGACAACCGGTGTTTTATATGTCTGTTTCAATATCCATTCACAATGTTCCAGCCATTTTCACCATTTCTTTGTGCAATGGAATAATAATGAAGCATGGCAATATAGGCAGCAGCTTTGGGATGCTTCAAGCATTTTGGCTTTGTCAGTTGCACCATATACTTGTCCACACTTTTTAATGCATTGATTCTGAGTATTTCTGGTATACAAGAATACTTTTACACATCTTGATTTTTATTTCTGGAAATACTCTAAAGAAAAATTTAAATTCTTCATGATGGCATACAATAATGCTTTCATGTATGAACAACTGCATGGTTTCACTGTCTACTATAGTCTGGTAAATGATGAACAAGCTTCATTTGACAATTGTCAGCATTCACAAGGTTTAAAAATTTATTTTTCACATACTGTAATTTGAATCATCCAAAGCCCCCTCTCCATCAAATAATTCAAACACCTTCAAGAGGACCAGGACTGAAAAAAATAATATGTGAGTATATAGTAAAAGAAAAATGCATCACAAAACACAACAATGCATACATAGTACAAATGCATGATTCATTATTTTTCTTAGATTAAAAAAGGAAAAGAAAATATCAATAATGAAAATCACAGCACAAGGCAATTACAGAGTACAAATTAGAGCACAAGGCATAATTTGGAGGAGAACTCAAATGCAACTAAAAGTATCCTGATCCTCCATAATTTGGTAAAAGACCTTTTTCATCAAGCAGCAGAAAACCAATGGCTTTTTGAAGCTAATTTCTGTAAAAATGGAATGCTGGCCATAAGAAATTGTGCTCTGGGGATGCAGTAATCAATGTATTTAAACTGCAGCAATTCCAGCACAGAGACTCTTGAATATTCACCAAACTTTTAATTGAAGTGTCATGAATTTGTAATGGAGCTAAAGTATCATAAACCACAAGAATGTTGAGGGATATAAAAAGTATTGGCATTGTTTTATCACAAGCAATGCCATCTATAGTAAATTAATGGAATCAACAACATCACAATCATAATGACAAACTGTCATTTATTTTTTCATGTTGGACGAGTCAAATCTTGAGAATTCTTCAGCTACATGAGAATGTTTCTGTTTTCAACATGAATTGCTGTGAATATCATGATTTATGAAATAAAATTGGGGCCTAATTGCTGCGGATCGTCTTTCAAAATGGAAGAATTTTCGGAAATCGATGGCATTTTCGGAATTTCCGCCGTCTGCTTTTCAGTGGAATTTTCCATGGCTCGTTGTCTCTGTAAGAAGAAATCACTCATGATTGTCATAATCAGCGTTTCTGTTCCTCTTACCAAAGTCAGCACAAAGGGATATTTAAAAGCCAAAACCAGATAAAGGCGTTAAAAACTTCAGGCCAGAAAAAAAGTTTCATTCCATGACAACTGAACAGGGGTTTTCTGCTTTAGTGGAAAATAATTCATGTGTACAGGAGGGAAACCACGAACGCGCACCAGCATGAAGGGAAAAATCCTCAAACATTTTTTTGAAATACAGAATATATACTTGAATAGTTTGAATTGCATATGTTAATTGGGGTTTCATAGCCATAAACGGTGATTACTCCTGCAGAATATATGATAATAAAACAAATTACCAAATCTGGGCGTTTTTAAATCAAACATTATTCTTTTTCAAATGTTATTAATCAAGTGCAAATAAACGTAATGGAATGCACGTTTTTTACAGTGGTTAACCCAGGACTGGTGCACAGATTTTTATTTTTCCATGCCCAATTCTTGTCAAATTTCAGCAAAGGAAGATGTTATATTTTTAATCCAGGTTCTCTTTCGTCAAACATGGTTTATTGTACAGCAAGATTAATTTTGTTTTGAAAGTGCAAAGTTTTTATTTTACCAAATAATGGCATAGAACTTCAATTGAATATAAGTTTTGTGTTTAAAGAAAGGGCAGACAGTTGTGCATCCTCAGCATGCTACTTTTGCAAATAATTCGAAATTTGCTCAGAGAAATTCAAAATATACTCATAAAAAAGTTGAAAATTCTTTCGGGGAAATTTTTAATTGAATGTTGAGTTTTTTGCCATGTCCATTGTTGAGAAATCAGAAGAGATTAAACAACTGCCATCTGCCCTTTCTTTGACTCCAAGATATTAAAAAAAATAAAGTTTCATGTTTTTCAGAATAGAAGAAAATGGGACCCAGTCATTTTACTGCTGCTCATCTGCTGTTGGGCATGCATTAATACAAGCACAATTTGGTTATAAATGTAGGAAATAAATCCAAAACTATAAAAATAATTACGGCAAAATGCAAACATTTGTCAATGCTATAATTTGATAAAAAATAAAGTATTGAACATTTTTTCAAATTTTTATGGGAAAACGTTTTTGCTGTAGGAGTTGTTGGGGAATCAATTTTGATAGTTTATTCGCAAAACTCTAATATGGGATCTTAATCAACTATTACATTTTGCTTTACAGTGCCCACTCAGAAGGGGCTTGATATGTATGGGCGCAGGTGTTGAACCAATTAGCAGTTTCAGGCTCATGTAACTTGATCGAATTTATGTACAATATGGACTCCCAAGTTGAAGTTCTTAGCGTTTTTGGGCCTGCAGACTGACGAATTTCCCAAAACTTTTCTGGACACCAGCAAAGTTTCATACAATTTTTGCAGACTCTTGAAAGTTTTGCTTCAAAGACTTAAAGGTAGGTATTTGAGAAGTTCACTGCTCTTTTCAAAAGTCAAGTTAAGCACCAATGAATCAGCTATAGCTGAATTTGATTTAAAAACAAATTAAAAGGTAGGCTTAAATAAGAAAGCTTTCTCAGAATGAAAAATTGAAATAATCTAATTCAGTGGGTGAAAATTTGTCTGAAGTTTTAACAGCCAACTTTTTTTTCGTAAGATAATTGCAACTGCCTTTGTCTCTCAAAAATTTCAGATATGGACTTCATTTTATGCTTTTGGTGGATTTATTTTGCCGAAAAAAAATTTCCTGTGGACCCCCTCCCCCAAGAAACTTCCGTGGACTGACGGCATCAGTCCAAGAACACTGGATATATTGTCAGTACATCAAGCATTAGTTCATCACTTGCCTGATATTTGGCGTATCCAAGCTGAAGAGCATCTCTCCTGAAGCGATCATGATCCGATGTTTTGGGCTTGAGTATCTCAGCACCCCCGGATCCCTGTTGATGATGATGGTTTGTTGCATACTTGAAGCTTTCAATGGCATCCGGAACCACTTCCAAAATCCTTCCTATCGACGACGACGACTGCTGCTTATTATTATTACTAGTGTTGAACACCCCGTCCAGGAAAGTTGATCCCCCTTCGCGACCAGCTTGCTGAATTGCCAGAGCAACGAGAAACGCCGCCACGCCCGTCAACAAGACGAGAACTCCAACAGTCACAGGCAGGCCAATGGTGTGGATCAACTCGTCGTGTCCACCCCCACCCCCGAGGCCTCCTTTGCCGCCTTTACCCTTGCCCTTGTACCCGGGTTCCATGTAGCCCACGTTGCCAATGGTGCAGAAGCAACTGTGCTCGTCATCCGCAACTGGAGGAGCATAATAAGTCTCGCCCTTGTATCCATGATGAGTGTGATGATGACCATAATCCTCGTTGTGTCCGTAGCCATAACTGCCACCACTTCCACTACTGCTGCTGCTTGGGGCATAATCCAAGTCCAGCAGGCTTACCAACTTCGACCGCATCTTCTGCCAGGCAACCGAATGAGGAGGATAATAGTCGTCGTCGTTGTCGTAGTAATCCGAAGTGTCGGACCTGTCTTCAGACTTGTTGCGCTCATCCGAATGCTTATCACTGCTGCTGCTGCCTTCATCATCATCATCAGAGTCCTCCTTGCTGGACTTTGAGTATTTCTTCTTCTTATTGTGCTTATCTTTGCTCTTGTCACGTTTCCTGTTCCCTGAATCCCTCTTATCAGCAGCAGTGTTGCCATCAGCGTTGTCATCATCATCGTCGGATCGCGACAATAAAGGTGCAACGTAAGCTGGGAGTCCGTTCCTTCCTCGCGGTAAACGCCATCACTCTGACAACCTCATTGAGCCGGTCCTCATTATAACACGGTCCCTTAATAACATCCACAGCGAGGGTCGTGAGCACCCGGTCTCTGGCAAACTCTTCCTGCGGTAAGGGTTGAAGGCCGTGGCGTTTGCAGCAAATCCGAGCTGATTGAAAGTCATTTTGATGACTTCTCGAAATTATAACGACTTTGACCCTGACAAATAATGTCACTTAGTACCTGTACTAGAATAAAGACAGTCAGCAATAAGAAACTGCTTTAAAACACAAACTATTTGGGCTTTGATTCAAATCAAGATCATCTACTCAATGCAAAAAGAAAATAATACAGTGAAGTTGCCTGCATAGAGTGAACCCTCAGTTAACAAGCTTTCGTCCTCACAGAAAAATTCCTTGGTTAACAAACCAAAATTTTTGGGACAACATTTTGAATAGAGCAGTTCAAAATTTGATAAGTCAAAATTTCATTATAAAAGTTTTCATACCATTTGATATCCACAAAGAAATGCTCTTGGTGTATAGATTACTGACTTTACTGAGAGACAAATGACTATTCACAATGCCAGTTGAGATACAAAGAATTAAAAGCCAGGTGAATTTGATGGCAGAAATCGAAGAAAAAAGATGCACGGTAAAAATTCAGGAAACAAATTCAATCTAAGGCATCACTAAACAGTATTTTGACTGTTTCAGAGTGAGCTCCCTTCCATAAAATTGAAAACCCTTTACAAGAACTACCAACTTTTGTGAAAGTGCTAAGAAAGATTACAGAAAACAAAAAGTTTCTTATTGTTTTGCAAGGACACTGTTTCCTATGGCCTGCAATAAAAAAGCATAATTTCGAACACATATATTCACAGTTGAGAACATGTACAAAGCACAGGAAAAAATGAATCATTAGGAAAACCAGAAGCAGTGGACAATGGCGCTTTCAAACCGATTTCTCTAGTTGTGTTTTATTCCTAAATGCATGAATTTATTAGTTAGTTACAGTATTGTCAAATTTTATTCTGCTGGGAGTCATCTTATTCATAGGTGAGTGTTTTCTGGATGTGAAGCTTCAATATCTCATCCTGATTTTTGTTCTTAATGAGTTTTCACTTGCAGTTTGGGTGGCATTAATGGATTTTTCAGTTCTGCGTAATTGAAGTCTATTGGAATAATCAAATTTGGCTAGCAAATTGTCAGTTACCAAACTTTTTTCTGAAAGCAATTAAGTTTGTTAACCAGGGGTACATTGTACAGCATGTAGAGAAATCTGTTGTTCATTAATTCACATTGCCTTATTCAGGTTGGGGCCATTTTTTTTAAATATCTATGTTGATTAATTAGCCTAATAATAAAAAGAAAGTGTTTGACAGTAATACCCATTTTTGGACGTACAAAATCACGAAATTCCGATAATCATCTTTCATGGTTGATTTGTTGAATAACAGTTTTGAGTGCAGTTTAATTTTTGGCATGTCATGCTTTATGCTGTCTAACGTTATTCTTTTCAGTAGTTTTATTCTTGTTGTATTGTAAACGCTATTCTATTAGTGGAGTAAAAATAACTATAGAACATAACTTATTCACAAAACTTATCACTGCATTGAATCTCTCAGTGAAAGTGCATAAAAGTAGAATAAAATAAATCATTGTCAACATATATCATCACGAATAATGAGTGACTTCAATATGCATCGCATTTAGATACAGTATTTAGGAATATTGTGAGACCTGCTCCATCCCAGGCATTTCAAAAAGTATGTTCTTGTACAACATGGCGTTCATTCCAACTGAATATAACAATTATACTTTATAAGTCGTTGGAAAACCAGTTTGAAATTCGTAACAGAAGCTACTATATATTTTAAATTCGATGAAGACCAGCATATTTTATTCTGAACTCTCCAAAAAATATAAGAACAAGTGCAGGAATTGACGACCTCACGTTTTGAAATTCTGGGTTGAAAATTTTTTCAAGTGAGCATTACAAAAGCATAGTTATTTCTCTTGGAACATTTGATTTCACCAAAAGATAAAAATCACTCCTTTGATTTTTGAATCATCACTGACCAAAAAAATTGTCTTGACTCAAGGAGACCCAAGCAAACACTGAATGGTTCCCCTGAAAAACGTTTCACCTCCACCTTCTGCCAACGAAACCTTTTTTTCCCCCGGTTTGTCATGGATCGAAATGACTACTCTTACATTCCGAATATATATATCCACTCTTACATTCCGAAATGTCTTACATTCCTGTATCTCTGTCATCTCCAGCACTGTACAAAAGTTAATAACGCGAATGATCAGCCATGACGACGTTTCTCCGGAATCATTAATTAACCCACATATATATAGTCAAGAACTATAATTGCAATCATTTCATCCTGGATTCTCACAATCCATCAAATATGAACTTATAACTGGTGGGTGTCAATGGAATTTTGGAGCAACGGGCGATTTTCTGTGCTTTTATACTTGAATCAGTGAGCTGTAATAAATTTAAAAAAATGCAATTGAAAATTCAATAAGAAAAAAATCAGGATGAGATTTTGAAGCTTCACATCCAGAAAACACTGACCTACAAGTACAATGACTGCCAGCAGAATAAAATTTTACAATGCTGTAACTAAATAATAAATTTAGGCGTTTAAGAGTAAACTAAGAGTAACTACAGTAGTTTAAGAGTAACTATAAAAATCTGTTTGATAGTGCCATTGTCCACAGCTTCTGGCTTTATTGATGATTTTGAAGTGTCTGAGGTGTATTTTTGAAGTGTTGAGCACAGAAAACGTTTTGAAAGAAATTTTCTCCAGAATGTGGTATTTTTTGAAATAACCTGATTGAATGCACCAACATTCTAAAAAAGATTTAGACTTTTGTTATGGAGTTGAAAATGCAACATTTGAAATAATTTTTCTTACAATGTGACACACAACACCAAAATTCACATGCACTAGCAGCACTCAAAAAATTATTTCACGCTGATCAGAATACAGTATACTTTCACTTCTTTTTCGAAAATGCAGTAAATTACTGAAATTTTTAAAGTTGGACCATTCCCTTTTCTTGAAGGAAGGACATACTTGTAGTGCCCCTCCATTTTACCCTGATCCATTGCTGGACAAACGTAGAATTTCAATGAAGTCAAATTTCAAAGCAACATGAAATGCAATGTATTCTTCATTGTATTCCATGTTTTTGCCCATCTCTGTGGGTCAAATTGCGGGGCCTAGGTTGAATACCAGTATAGGTGGATTAGATCCTGGGAATGTGTCTGTACAGTATTCAGTTTAAAGCAAATAAATAGTGTACATTAGAAATGTCTGTTATTTGATGCGATTATATGACAAAATTTTAAGCAAACTTGAAAAATAAAAAAAATGCTCTTTATATATTCAATCCAGAGTTGAAGAATCCCATAAATATGTTTTTCTCATTGACACAACATTTTTATGGGCATGCAGTCTCTTACCATCCAATGCAAACATTGTCACAGCAGAAGTTCTTTGTCCTAAAAATCAGAGCATAAGTTAACCCCAGTATTTATGGCGATTGGAGAGCACTCAGTAAAATGATAATGAAATGTGAAAATGTCCCTCAGAACTGGCTACTATTTGCAAAGAGCTAATGGCACCAGTGGTCCCCAAACCATGGTCCATGGACCAATGGTGGTCTGTAGGACATTTTCTTCAACATAATAACTGTTTTAAAACTAGCAATGAAGTCTGTTATCTTTGTCTGAAAATTTGGTAATAAGACAATTGCAGTTGATAGCATCTGGTGAAAAAATTAAATTTTGCTTCTCTCCTAATTAATGCTACAGACCAATTGTCACCAGCGGAAATAAATTATTTTAAAGTTTCATTTTGATAGACCTCTCTGCAAGTTCACTTTTCCAATCATTCCTTGAAAGCATTCCAGTTTCATTGGTTCTTAATTGATTTTTTCAACCACCACAAAAACAGAAATCTCTTTTAAACTTGCCATGAAGTTTTTCAAGCCGAACACTTTTGAGTCTACAAAAATGCATGCAACTTTGCCACTATACAAAAATGCATGCAACTTTGCCAGCAATCTACAAAAATGCATTCAACTTAGCCAATATGTGAAAAAATGATTGAAAATTTGGCAGTCAAAAATGTGTATGGAAATTTGCCAAATGATAAAATTTTTTTGAACTTTGGCAGTCCAAAACGTTTTTCCATGAAACTTTGATCATCTGCAGAAAATTTTTTTCCGATCCACAATAACATTTTCATGGAAATATCCCAATCCGTAAATGTTTTTTGAAAAATTGCCAGTCCAAAAATTTTCTATGAAACTGATGTTCTGCAGAAAAAAAAAATTTCCAGACCACGCATATATCTATATATTTTTTTTAATTTGCCGACCAGTAGGCGGAAAGAATTGGGTAACACTGACATACATCAATGAGAGAAGGTGAACCCAGAAATTCTTGGGATATTCGGGGCTGAATGGGAACACCTGTTGGCCTCTGATTGGCATGACACTCTTCCAGGGCAATGAAGAAGGTGGATGTCCGAATAACCCATTGGAATGCGCGGATCACTGGTTCCAATTAACACCACGTGGGAGACGGACCAGTCAGGCAATAACACGAAAAATACCCTGCATTTCAAGCATTGCTGTGCTATGAACCTGGCATGCCTTAATCTGGTATGTGTTTGCTTAATTACCAGGGGATCATCCATGTGAACTGCCAGACTTAAAAATGACCCCAGATTTTATATAGATGCCTGCATGGCGAAGCTGGAATAATGTGAGCAGGAAAATTAAAAATAGTAATTTTTACAACTGACAACATTTATAAAATAGATAACTACTCCTGTACTGTAGTTTAATTCTTAAACCACGCCTAGAATATTTTTTCTTCTGCTCTTTCAATTTTATTACAATGATACATTAGATGTCGAACATATTATTGGTATTTGTATAATCATAAGTTTAAAATTTTGTGAGACATATGAGCTTTGCAGCATTGTTGTCTGCCTGAATGCATATTTTATTATTTCAAATTAATTTTCAGGTATCACATATACAGAAATGAGCTCATAGTAAAGGTACATGCAATTTGACCCTATAATCCATTGCTGGACCAAGGTCAAATTGGAAAGCTGTCAAATTGCAAGACAATGTCAAATGGCATTTATACATGGCATTTGACATTTCATGTCTCTCCACAGGTCACAGTGCATGGCAGAGGTAAAAATGAGAGTTGACCTCCCAGCAAATTTGACAGTAAAATTGCAGGATGGTCAAAATATTAGAGGTTGAGTTGCGATGTTCCACCTGTATGGTACAATGAGTTCATGAATCGATCAAATCCATTGAAAGTGCATTAATCTAGTTATTCAAAATAGCAAATTTAGTTAAAATCTTCAAAAACTTGATGAAATGATTTATGAAAAGTTATGCAAGAGATCAACTTATGTGTACATACCAGCAAAAAATGCGGGTGTGAAAACATGCATGAGGCACTAACACTGTCAATATTTAGTACCCCTTTGGGCAGGAGGATGCATGCGCCATCACCTGAATGTGTTGTGACAGACTTCTTGTTCACATGCTCATACAAGCCTGGCA